TCAAAGTTTTTAATCACTTTTTGGCAAAATGGCGGGTCTATTTCGTTAATCACGTCACGGATTTTGAGTTTTAAGACCGCGATCGATTCGATTGGCTCCGTATAGACTCTGTCCTTAACATAGCCTCACAAAAAATAATCCAGTGGTGTTAAATCACACGATCTGGCTGGCCATTTAACAGCTGAATTTCGTGAAATTATGCGATCGGGAAATTTGGTTTGCAATAAATTGATCATTTCGTTGGCTGTGTGACATGTGGCACCGTCCTCTTGAAACCACATGTTTATGATATCGATGTCATCAATAATAGGCCAAAATTGAGATGTTAACATCTCGCGATAGCGTGATCCATTGACCGTTACCGCATTTCCAGCCTCATCTTCGAAAAAAAACGGCTCAATCACGCCTCCAGACCACATAGCGCACCATAGAATGACACGTTGAGCATGCAAAGGCTTCTCAATAATCGCTTTAGGATTTTCAGAAGCCCAAATGCGGCAATTTTGCTTGTTGACGTACCCTGACAAGTGAAAATGGGCTTCGTCTGAAAAAATGATTTTTTCAGAAAAACCAGCGGGCTGTTCTTGAATGAATTGAGCGAATCTACGGCGATGTGAATGGTCGGTCAGCTTCAATTCCTGCACCAGTTGAACCTTTTAGGGCTTCAAAGCCAAATCCTTACGCAAAATTCGCCATATGGTGGTTTTGGATAACCGCAATTGTTGAGAACGTCGAGGAATTGACAAATTTGGATCTTCTTCAACACTGTGGCTCACGGCTGCGATGTTTTTGGTTGAACGACCCGGTCGAACACGCGTTGGTGTTGGCACATTTTGTACCAAGCCTGTCGATTCAAATTTAGCGACCAAATTCTTAATAGCGGTGTCAGAAGGACGATTATGTTGTTCGAAAATATCACGAATTTTACGAAACGTAACTTTAACAGAACCACCATTTTCATAGTGGATTTTAATTATTTTAATGCGGTTTTCGAGCGAAATTGAATTCATTGTAGCAATTGCCAAAGCATCTACTACGAATAGGTCAAAAAACAGAATGTCAAAACTGTCATGTTGTTGGTGTTGCCCCAATTGAAAAAAAAAGTTCTTGTTGAAAAACCCATTATAAATTAATAATAATAAAAATAGTGCTATCACTGAGATCCTATACACGTCTTTAAATTGCACCATCAGAAAGGTGAGATCATAACAGTCGCCTAGGTCTTTATGAGCCCTTTCAAATGAGGTCAAACACGATTTTCCTATCTAGTGTCGTCACTGAGATCCTATATCCACCTTCGTATTGCACCACCAGAAAGGTGAGATCATAATCGTCACCTAGGTCTTTATATGCCCTTTCAAATGAGTTCAAAAACGATCGTTCTATCTAATGGCGTCACTGAGATCCTATATTTACCTTCGTGTTGCACCACCAGAAAGGTGAGATCATAATCGTCACCTAGGTCTTTATATGCCCTTTCAAATGAGTTCAAAAACGATCGTTCTATCTAATGGCGTCACTGAGATCCTATATTTACCTTCGTGTTGCACCATCAGTAAGGTGATATCATAATAGTCACCTAGGTCTTTATGTGCCCTTTCAAATGAGTTCAAACACGATCGTCCTATTTAGTGGCATCACTGAGATCCTATATCCACCTTCATGTTACACCATCAGATAGGTGATATCATAATAGTCACCTAGGTCTTTATGTGCCCTTTCAAATGAGTTCAAACACGATCGTCCTATCTAGTGGCATCACTGAGATCCTATATCCACCTTCATGTTACACCATCAGATAGGTGATATCATAATAGTCACCTAGCACTTTATGTACCCTTTCAAATGAGTTCAAACACGATCGTCCTTTCTAGTGGCGTCACTGAGATCCTATATCCACCTTCGTGTTGCACCGTCTGAAAGGTGAGATCATAATAATCACCTGCGTCTTTATATGCCCTTTCAAATGAGTTCAAAAAAGATAGTTCTATCTAGTGGCGTCACTGAGATCCTATATATACCTTCGTGTTGCACCATCAGAAAGGTGATATCATAATAGTCACCTAGGTCTTTATGTGCCCTTTCAAATGAGTTCAAACACGATTGTCCTATCTAGTGGCGACACTGAGATCCTATATCCACCTTTGTATTGCACCATCAGCTAGGTAATATCATCATAGTCATCTAGGTCTTCATGAAACTTTTTGAAAATGAGTTGAAAAAAACATGATAGTCCTACGTAGCATCACTAAAGACCGATTTACACTTCGACAAGTACAGTAGCGAGTTTAGTTACAAGGCAGTTGACAGCAAACGGTTAAGTGGGCAGTAGCGTTCAAACAATGTCTCCGTGGCGAGTTTAGTTTAGCACATTAGTTCATAGAGTTCGTTGGGGTATGAAGTTTCAAGACTACAGAATTTTTCTGGTTTCCGTTTAAGATGGTTCTAGGATTACGTCAAGAATTAAATGATCCAGTCAGAGGAGTATTAACGGTTGTTGTTAAAGAAGTTTTTAAGAATTTTCATGACTGCAGCATCTCAAGCTGCTTTAAATTTTATAATTTGAACTTCTACTATTATGTAAAAATTCGTGTTCTAAATACTCTTGTACAAATTTATACGTAATATCTTCCGTCCATTTTATTATTAAAACTCAGTATAAAACGTATAAATATTCAATAAACAGTATCGTACAAACTTTGTGGCGAGTTTAATTATAAAAGTACAATTGTACGTTTTGGCGCGCAAACGTTGCGTCCTGTCAACTTATGCACTGAACTAAACTCGCTCGTTTACACAAACGGCGAGTTTAGTAGCAGGTGGCGGAAGACGCGCGAGAGGGCAGCACTTCGCACTTAACTCGCCGAAAAATAGCTCGGCCGGCTATCCCGTTCAACTTAATCGTTAACTTGCTACTTAACTCGCTTATTGCCGTTCAAACGAGGTTCAAACTTAATTCGCCAGGTTCGCAAGTTAACTCGCTACCGTATTTGTTGAAGTGTAAATCGGTCTTAAGATACTTTACACATCTTCTGAGTCAATCATAAGGAAGGTGCCATCATCACAATCACCTTAGTCTTCATCCTCCGTCAAACGAAATTTCTAAATATATAAAATAATAAAAAAATCTAAATAGCATAGAAATAATGTATGTAGCTACTAAGAAACTAGGCACTTACCAGTAATTAAAACGAACTGAAGCCAGCGGATTACGGCGCGCCCGGAAAACTCCGTGGAGTGCCATCAGTTAAAAATTTCAACTTAAGATTTCGCACTGGCGATCAGTTTTGGATTTACGTCAGCCCGACTGCTGACAGTGCGACCGAAAAAATCCGAGGGTTGTCGTCAGTTGAAAATTTCAACTTAAGATTCCCCACCTACGGTCAGTTTTTGGATGTACGTCAGTTCAACTGATCATTTTAACTGACCGTGTGTGGCATTCATTAGAAATATTTTAACCCATTTCCCAATTATAAAACTTTCTAAATAAAGTTTTTTTATTATTGTAATATGATCGTCATGTATTTTTATTATTTAATACATTTTCAATACACATTTTAAGCAGATTTTTAGTAAATATCGGGTCGATATTAGGCGCTTAAAACGAATTTATTTTAACTTTAATACATTTAATAGTTCAAAATACTATTTTTATGATAATTTAGACGACTTTATTATAGAAATTAATTATTTTTAATTATTAATAATAATTTATTTATTTATTTAAATTGGTTTACCAACAACTTATGCACTAACATCTTTCCATATAAATCAAGCGATATAGTAAAAAAAACTAAGTACACAGTCAATTACAGGTAAACACCAAATGCATAACTTTTATCGCGACAATTACAAGACGAATTTATACTTATTGAATAGAAACACTGTAGTATTGCTATTATAAATGCACTAAAACAAACTGACCAAAAACAGAGCGGCAAGGTATGGATTTACAATATTTAAAAAAAAATTAAAAAATTAAAAAAAGAAAAAAAGTGTTTAACAAGGCAAATGTTTATAATCTGATGTACCTATCATATAGACAGCCTTTCGAAACTTTCCCAATGAAACATGGTTAATGTCGACGAGATCGCTAATTTGGTTAAAAAGCCTGATCATCGATCATCATAATGCACGATCACACTAAGTAGGTTAACCCAAACTTAATTTTGTCGGACACGGCCAAGGCCTTCTTGACACACTCTAACAAATAACCGTCTTCAGAAGCAACATTACTTTAGAAGCAATGTTATGTGGAAATTCCAAATAACACCTATGTGCTATTTATTTAACAGATTAAATTTCGCCAAAACTTACCATTGTATTACGCAACGCAATACAAAACAGCGCTATAACTCCTACTCAATGCCTGCCTAAAGGAATAACACCTACTAGTCGGTCATAAATGGACGCCTTCAGGAATAAACAAGACGTTCCACTCCCTGACCTTAAAACTTGGTAAGTTACCAAGTACTCTTTATAATTTATGTTGTTTTAAATAAATATCAATATAATTAATTAAATATAGTACTTATATAAAATTAATAACAAAGGTGTTAAGCATTCCTAACCTCTATTTATATCATAATCAATAATTTGTACAAAAATATGAATTTATCGTTAATTATAAGGACGTAGTTAATCGCTCGTGATGGTGAATAAAAATAAAAATGGCCTACCTATTTTCTTCCTCTTCGATGTTTAATTCGCAATGTTAGTAGGTACCTACTTCATTTTAGCTCATCACGTTTTTGATACCGCTAGACGTCAATAACATAATGGAAGATAAGAGTGTCAAATGTTCATTTAAATTACTTAGGTAGATACCAACAGAATCAGAACTTGTTTATACTTATTGCCATAGATAGTCGTACTTAACTACGGACGTAACTATAATTGACAGTTGTAAGTTTTATCGAATACACGTACACACGGGTGTATATCTTTTGTGCTCGTGTTTAACACAATATAATATGTTTGGAAAAGTTTGAATTTATAAAATGTTTTCACTTAAAGCTGTTGTTGTATTTCAAATATTATATTTTATCTCTACGAATGTAATTTGTTACTCCAGGTAAGTTCAAAAGTAGGTACCAATTATTTAAAATTATTAGGAAAAGAATATGTAGGTGAGATCATGATAAATAAATTAAGTATAATAAATAGAAGTTACAAGTTTGTGTAAACATAATCAGAAAATGAAATAGGTAGGTACCTCCCTTCTTAAGTAAGAAACCTTTTAAATATTTGATATTATTATTAGCGTACTTACATATTTTAGTCCAATTAACCATTTTGTACCCATTATTTTATTTTTCAATTCTTATTTTCAATAATAATCTATTTTTATTTGTATCTAATTAATAATATAATAATTAATTAGACATAAATCAAAATCAAACTTATTGCCTTGAACAGGCAATTACTTATATTATAAACATTTCTGTTGAAGAGAAATACTCATAATATTTATAATTTCTTTTAATTTTAAACTCGTAAATGGTACTACCTTAGTTTTAATTTTCCATGGAATCCATAGTCTTATTAAACCACTTTTACATCAATGATGGATTTACATTTTATCGTAACATTGCTTTCTGTTGATGTTAGGAATTTATAATGAAGAATGGGTTCTCACGAAAATTAATATGGTTTTGGTTAGTCAATTGCCTCACTAAATGAGAGTTTCATGCTATTTTGTTTTATATTTTTATTTTATTTTAAATTTATAAATTTATTCTTAATTTTGCACAAACAAAACTACTACCATAAAAACCAACAATTTTATGTGTATTAAAAATGTTAAAAAATATTGTGCTATACATGAAATAGACGGTTATTTTATTTTTATTTCATTTTATAGTCAACTGCTAAATGCATTTAAGTATAATTGTGACTTTTTTGAAACCATGGAAATTTTACAAAATACCTAAGTATGTACCTAACTTACGAAAATTTGAAATTATACGATATGGCTTGGCAACAGGCATATTCTCACAAGATTATAGACACGTTAAAAGAAAAAATAATTTACAACATGATAACCAAATGGATGCTGTGTACATTTCCCATACAGTTTACAATCGTACAAAGTAGATACGCTGGGAGGTTTCGAATATAGTCTACCCACTGATATTCTTGGAATATTCATATAATTTGTTAATAATTGTTTTGCATGCTCTGTAAATTAGTACCATACAAATTTATATGCAAAACGACCCAAGTACTTTGATGTTTAAAAAGTTGTGAGAGTTAAAGAAGTTATCAAAATGTATATCGAAATGACAATATCCGATCTATTTAAAAACGATTAAAAATTAAGTCGCTATGATTATTAGGCCGGTCACATACATACGGAATTCCGTTTCGGAATTCCGATTCGGGATTCCGTACATACATCACACACATACGTTTTTTTCCGTTCTAAATAACAAGGTTCAGCCATTGAGTACAGATATTCAGCCAGCGAATACGAGTATGGAGGGCAATATTGCGATTGCATTGTTGCTGTATCTAGCCAAGAAGAAAACATTTTGCCACCGTTTCTGGGTGCATCCCCTTAACACCATAAGATTACAAGATAGCCAGTATTATGTAAAAAGAGCCAAATTACAAGCCTATCCAGATTTTTTTTAAATACTATCGGATGTCTATACACTCTTTCGACAAAATATTTTATTTCGTACTGATGAGCTAGAGGGAACAGTAACAGGGGTGTAAGAATTATGTTGAGCTTAGTCTATGGTTGTTTAAGTCTTATTTTGTAAATGACGAATCAACGACTTTTTTGCCTCTAGGGCGGCGCCATTTAAAAATGAAGTGTAATATTTGACAGATTTCATAGCAGGGAAATTAATTTGTTAAAAAAACCTAAAGGATAATGTTTTTTGTACCATTAGTTATATTTTATATTAATTAGATTCAAAATAAAAAAAACCAAACCACTGAGGCATTGTTTTGTGTACTAATACAATACCCTAGAAAGTGATAAACTTTTATTTAAAACTGTCTTCTCAATTAAATGACATTGTGTGACATACAAAAAAAGAAAACTGACAAAGAACTGCAGTTCCTATGAACTGAGCTGCTATATTTTTCTCCCACTAGAGTCCTATATCAGTCTTTGGAAAACTATGTATGTAATTTGAAATTAACACGCTTGCTTTCCCTATGCGGGACACAAGTATTCTTCATTATGAAAAATATAGAGAATTATTTACTTATATATATTAATAATATAAATAAATAATTCTCCACGGGTTATTGATTTTATACGAATTTACTGCGTTCGGAATCCCGAATCGGAATTCCGAAACGGAATCTTGAAACGGAATTCCGAATGTGTGTGGCGGGCTTTAGTTGTTATCGCATCCCAAGCACACCTGCAACAGACTTCAAACAAAAAAGGCTACAGATGCGATGTTACGTCTGTGTACTAAGGTTCAATTTACATTGCCGCGGAACAGAATGGAAGCGAAATTTTGTAACGAAATTGTACATAGTAAAATAAGTTTTGTGTTAATCGTGTAACATGCAAACTAAATATGAGCCAAAAAAGTCTCGCGTCTTCCGTGGAATTATAGCGCGTTCTCGAGGATTCCCGTAGCTACTGTCGGCGCAGTATCTAGAATCCGCGGAAAGTGGCGCGAAGGGTGGCGTTTTATTTTCTTCCATAAATCCTGAACCCAAATATTTCTTTTCCTTTTTCTGATATTCTTCCTTTCTCATCATTTCTCAGTTCTTCAGTCTCACAAATAGCATTATGAAAATAATATATAATCAATTATATATATATATATATAGGCGCAGTCGCGGGAATACTCGAGCATTCTCACGAATTCGCGCGAATAGGCGAAATTGACGCTTCCGTTCAGCTGCAATGTAAATTGAGCCTAAGGTCGGCCACATACATACGGAACTCCGTTTCGGGATTCCGATTCAGAATTCCGATCGCAGCAAGTCCTTATAAAATCAATGAACCGTCACACACCTACAACAGTTTTCCGTTCGATATTTTGCGGCCAAAACGGGATTCCGTATGTGTGTGGCCAACACGTTTATTCCGTTTCGGAATTCCGAATGTAGTATGTGGCGGGCCTAAGATGGAATGCCACATAGCCTGTAATTATACTGGTTCTCTATACTCTCCACATCGATACAGCAATGCACGTAATACTGCTTATTGGTGACAGAAATAGATAAAATGTTGATCTACCCGGACCACAAACTAGTAAGAGTACTAACGTAACCCAGAACGACTCCTGCGTAGACCGAGAAACCTAGAATAATGATTAGCGTGGCCTCGAGTGAGAAAGGACGATAATGTAATTTTAGGTTATACAATAATCTTTACGACTTTTAAACATAATTAGATAAAAAAATTAATTGTTCTAAGAACTGAACTGAACAAGATTCACCAATCTTAAGCTCACAAAACACTTTTTTCTATCATAAACCAACTTGTAAACTCCTTAGATCGCTACGAACTGTCAAAGTTGTTTAGCAAACTGCACTTTGCTAAACAAAAAAACCGGCACGGAGAAAGGGACAAACAATCACAACGCTCTGTCTCATTTCTATGCAAGACATGAATTTCGTGAGCGAATGCGAAAGAAGGCGTCAATTTGTCTATAGGTTTCTCTGTCTACGGACTCCTGGGTATAAAAGAGTCCTACTACCAAGTACGTAATATAACATATTGAAGAACGTGTGGGCGGGATAACCTTTGAACCCCTTTGAAGGTTTTTTTACTTTTTAATACGTAAAGGAGTATGGGTAGAAATTGTTAATTAAAAAAAATGGTAGTGATCAGAATCGTTATTTACCAACTCTTACAGTATCAGATCTGAAACGTATTTTTTTTTCAAATTCATTTAGGATTTAATTGTTTTAAAATGTTTCATTCAAGGCAAAATTTTATTAAGTATTTTATTTCAAATTATTGCGTGATTTGAACATTTTAACTGAACCCGTTTTCCGGCTGTTGAGTGATGTGTACTGATGAACTGTTCATTATCCTTGTTTATTTTTCAGTAATATTTCCTTACCCGAAGAACAATATTTATTTGATTTTACAAAATCTGACAATGTCGAAAATTGGCAAGAACAGTCTGATACTGTACGAGACGTTGGAATGTCTAAAGCAGTATTTGTGCTACATCAGAACACCGGTTATAGAAGAGCCATATTTTTCGCATTATTGAATCCTCAATTGAATGGTGCTGGATTCGCCGGTGTAAGAGCAATTAAAACATATAACCTAACTGGTTATACAAAGCTGCAGATTCAATGTAGAGGACAAGGACAATACAACGGATTTAAAATGGTTCTGAGGCACAAAGGGTTAAATGATGAGCCTAATTATTCTTTTGAACAATATTTCCAGGTACGTTTTCATTAATGTCTCTGATATAAATATTTTTGATTATTCCCAATATTTAATAAACTTAGCTCGTAACCAAATAAATTAACATTGTAGTATGACCACGTACCTACTTGTATGTAAATGTTAAAGAGTTTTACTATGTATAAACTTAATTTATGCATATAAATGTATTTAAATTTAACTACTTAATTCGTTCAACTGAACGGAGCGTCGAAGGTCGAAGAATCTGTCCACAATCATTGCCTCGGTTAACGTTAATTATCAAGTATTGTGTGCTTGTCGTACTCAATATTACAAAATTCTGATCCACTGCTAACTAGATTTCCGCATTAAGCTATTACCTACTTCTGTTGAATACCTCTTTGGTCTAGTGGTCGTGAGCGAGACTGTAGTAGGTACAAAAAATCAGTTATTGGGGTTTAGCCGCAGTGATAGAAATTGTCTGGTGAACATTATTATTACGGCTGATGAAGATACAAAGGTAGAACCTTTTGCTAGCATCATAAACGGAGCGGAGTAAAAGTCTAGTCATTAATATCTTTATTTCAACAAAAGATTCAATCAAATGGTGTGACATTGCGCAGATGTAAATTAATCAGCTCATCTAATCGCTAATTTATTGGAGAGAGAAGCTTAGCGGTCAGTCACCGCAGAGTTATCACCTGAAGATGCCTCGTGTAGAGGCGAAACACGTGTCCTATTATCGCCGATGGTGTCTTTCCTAGAGTAGTGGTGTTGGGAGTAGTGATTTTGGGACTAGTGGTATTGGGAGTAGTGGTATTGGGAGTAGTGGTATTGGGAGTAGTGGTTTTTGGAGTAGTGGTGTTGGGAGTAGTGGTGTTGGGAGTAATGGTGTTGGGAGTAGTAGTGTTGGGAGTAGTAGTGCTGGGATTAGTGGTGAAGGTATTTGTACACGCAGTTGAAGGAGGGCAGGAGGTGATCTTCAAACTAGGTAAGACACATCATTTTGTTTTATTGAGCGGATGACTGCAAAGTAACTATTAATATCTTTAGTCAATCGTTATGTTAAATGTAAGGCCTATGTTCAGCAGTGGACTTGTGAAGGGCTGTAATGATGATGATGATGATATGTTAAATGGCTTAAGGAGAACTTATGTATCTAATTTTAGTCTGTGCTGTCCATGATTCAGCCCCATTGGAAGTAAAGTGGATACTTTGGATTAGCGCAAATGTTATGTGTAATACGTGATATTGTAATTTTATAAAAAGACCTATAAACAAGGTCGGGGTTATCTGTCCAATTAAATGCTTGATTAAACCAATAGGCTGTGCTAATACACACAGAAATATCTGAGTAATTCATTACACAAACATAGAAATGTTTGATATAGTGTAACAACTTTCTCCAAGGAAATTGGTAAAGATATTACACGTACAGATTATACAATCTATTTTTATATATTTAATATTGTTTTTTAAATAATTACGGCATTTTGTATAATGTGTTCTTGATTATTTTTTATCAATAAATTCTTGTCTACTGCGCGATTTCGAAATTAGGATAGCTACATATGTATTTTGAGTCGTGGGTTTTGGGTTTAAAGCCAAATATTTGTGTAAAAAGAAATTATCGAATATATTGTAACATGTATGGGTGAACTCCTCCCGGATATTATCACAAAGGTTCATGGTTATGTGTTTCTGGTTGATAACCACCAAGGCGACAATACCGTATACTATCGGCAGCTATTAACTGCACAAGACGATAGCATTTAAGTGATAAGAGAATAATTAAACCCTAATGATTTCTCGGTACAAATGATGATCTAATAAAACGAGTTTTTCGCGTTTAATTATCTTATTTTATGTATCCAAAGTTTCGGATACTTTATACCGCGCTTGATCACAGAAGACTGAAGTGATTCAACGTCCCAATGTCATAGTTAACTACGGCTACCTGCAGTTTAAAATTATTAATTTTGATCCCATTCACGTAGAATGAGATTATTCTCTCAATGTGTTCTTGAAGTTTCATCACAATCGGTTTATCCATTCCGATAGAAATCCATTAGCACGAACAGAAAGACAGACACACAAAATATCCAAAACAGTAGGTACATGATCGAGATATTTAATAATCACTACCTCTTGACTATCTCAGCAGAGCCCATGATTTTACCGGCATGATTTTACTCTCCTTATATCTTTAGGAGTTGGATAATGGAGATTAGTCTTCTCCAAGTCATAGTTTTTACAGTCTTAGTTTGTTTCTGCACATCGGTGTGCACTCTGGATACCCAACGAGCGGATATTTACTTTTTGTCCCCATATAAAATGTTAAGCAAACTATCTGTCCAATTTTTTATTTCTTTAGAAATAAAAATTACCATGAGACTATCTGCTAAAGCATTTTAACCCTCAAGCACTGACGTGCATTTTAGTAACACTAACACTGACGTACGTATGACATACGTCTATGATTTTAAAGACCTCTTGTGCATCGATAGAGTGTAAATATTGTGATGTGTATTTACATTTTGGTTAAATATATTTAATATAACCTAGGGATATTAAAAAAACAGTTAAGATAATTAAAACAAAATATTTATTAATCAACGGCCTTAGAAGTAATGAAATTAACATAATATTTTTTTTTAAATCAACTAAAAATAATTTTTAAGAATAGGAACGTTTATTATTGGTGTTGTTACTTACTAAGGATGGTTTTAGTTATAAAAAAATAGCAATCACATAAATAATGAAAATTAGGCACTTTTTAACAACAGTTGTTGCAGGTCGGCTTAGAGCACTGCAAACATACTGGTTTACCGCATGCTTGACAACCGTATCTTGTTTTGCGACGTTTTAGTTTATAACACATATAGCAATTCTTTATGGTTTCAAATTTTATAATTTTATGACTTGGTTGACCCACTTCGGTAGCCATATATTTGCCCAAGATACGACCAATAAGACTCGAAAGCTCATGTGAAAGTTGCGGCGTCGTGTATCTTTACTAAGCTTAGCTCGAGGTGCGGCTTTACTAAGCTTTTTCGAAGATTTTTCATGAAACTCAGACGATCCGAAGTATTATAATTTGACATTATAAAAGAATTGACAGCAGCAATATCTAAAATTCTGTAGAATATGATCAACGGCCATCTCCTTCCTTCCCTTCTTGCACAGCAGTATTTGGCACATTTTTCATCTAAGGAATCAACACCTCCTTTACAAGAGTTATAAAATGATATTATTTCTGGGATCCCTTTGACCGAATCCATGCTCTCTGTATGGTGCATCGACGACAACATTATAACAGTTTTGTGTTTTTTTGGTACATAGGACAACAACATAATGTCTTTCGTGAAACCGTATAAAACTGAATGAACTGGTCGAGTTTTGGTAAGAAATTCAGGTGGTATTTCCCTTTTGTTTTTTTTAGTGTCCCTACAAACAATTTTCAAACAATTTTTTTTTTAATTCTCTGCATACTTCAATCGAGGAGAAGTAATTATCTGCAGTGATGTTTCGTTTGGTTCCCATGATGGGTTTTGCTAAACGTAAAATACATTGTGTAGGTACCAGCAGATTTTTCTGTTCGTCGGTTAGTCCATTGCCGTCACTGTTCTTGCCCGTATAGAGGTAAGTAAGCATTGTACAGGTAACCGGTGGTACTATCAGTTAGACATTTTATTTCCAATCCATACTTGCAGGGTTTGTTAGGCATGTACTTCTTCCATCTGCACCTGCCTCGAAAAGACACTAACATTTCGTCGATAGTGGTATTCTATCCAATTTTATAATACTTTTGGCAATTCATAAAATATGCTCGAGATAGGAGCAGCGACATCAGACTGTTTTCTTTCATCTCTGGTAGACGCATCATCAAACCGAAGACTTACGAGAATCATTGCAAAACGATCTTTGGACATTACTCCTCTAAAAATATCTCTCCCTGTTCCATCAGTAGCAAACAATGCATTTATGTCTTCATCATTCGATTTGAATGCTGCACTAAAAATCAACAGCCCAATGAAAGCATCAAACTCTACAGAATCTAAGTTCTTCAGTTCAGGTTTACCTTGTCGCTTATATTTTTGTCTAATCAATTTCAGTTTTTAAGCTATTGCATAGCTTCTATCGCGGGCCTTGAGCGCGGGGACCGAATCCAGAAATTCCGTAACGAAAAAAAACCTCACGCTCCCCACTCCGACGGGCACGGAGGTGTGGCGTTGAAAGCCGTGCATCGTCTAACGTCGTTTCAGTTCGGCAGACTTCGGCACGGTGTTTGTGTGCGTGCGATTAGACGTATGCGTGTACACTAGCTGCTAACTCAATGATAAAAATTCCTGAATAACCTACATGTATTGTAAGATATTAAAAATATTTTAAACAATATTAAATTCTCATTTATTCAATAAGAGAAAAAAAATGTTTTCTTATCGGTCACCACGCTCAAAAAGTGTAACTTGATTTAATATCAAAGACTTAACTGCATAAATAAAATAAATAAATAATTATAATTGCATAAGTTAAAAATGCTATGCAATAGCTTTACCGCGGCAGTCACCGAGTGCCACACGTATTTTTGTTTAGTATTTTCTATAATTTGTGTTTTAATATTGTCAGTTATTAGCAAACTACATAATTGTGAAGGCGGACTATCCGGTGAAAAATCAATTGTAGTTATTGGAGTAACGATGTTGTGCGCAGGTGTGCGTGTAGTTCTCGATGGCCCTTCTGCAGACCACTTCATAGTAGTACTTTCTGCGAGATTGCGATACATTACCCTCGGCTACTGTATTTACTTGAGAATTGCTTACCTGGCCGCCACTTTGCCTTGTTTCAGAATCAATATGGCGGGAAAAATGTGACAAAGGCATACCATCTTCAGAAGAGTCAGGGTCCGAAGCTCCACTAGCGGCCTCTCCATCATCACAATACTCCTCTTCTGAATAATCATCGCGGTCCGACTGAATGTAATCATTTTCATCCGCCGATGAATCATCTGATTCACAAGGCCAAGATGCGATAATTTCTTCGTTATAAGTAGCTTCACCTCCAATACGTAGTATTTTTCTAGACGAAGATATGCCGGAAGGAGAATTACATCGCTTACGATTCATTTTATCTAAACAAACATAAACACATAATTTAAAAAAGTCACACTAACACTGACAATACGTACGACGTACGTCAAGGTATCAAACTTACCTGTTTAGACACGTGCCACACGTCTGCACTCCACTGTTACGCGGTCGTTACTGGCGAATAGGAAACTACCAAAAAGGACGCGTTCGAAATCCCGCGCAATTTAAAATTTACATCGAAAAATTGTTTAGTTATACGTCGTTATTCACATACGTACGTCGGTGGTTGAGGGTTAATGTTCTTCCATTTTAACTTCGGCAATTGCGACCAATTGCAACAACAAAGTGCAACTGTAGAATATTTCGGTGCATGTACCCCTATTATTATTTATTTATCTCGTAAATCTAGATTGATTTGTGACGTAGTAAAAATTTCCACGAAAAGATACCTACTTGGGTAACTACAGCGCTTAGTTTAATGTTTTCTATATTCGCCGACACGCTTACAAACCACAACGCAGACAAATGACTTGTATTTTTTAAAACAGATAAAACAGTTTTTTTATGGTGTATTATCGGTTAACCCAGTTTTTTTATTCCAAAGAGAATGTATTACATTCTCTTTTTATTAATGCTTATCGACATGTGTATAATACCCATTACAGTGCAATTTTCTGGATTCAATCCCGAAGATATCACCTTATTATATTTCAATGAAAAACAAAACCCGCATTGATTATTTTCAGGGTCCCAAGGAGGAATTTGCCGTACGTAACTTGCCTTTCTCTGAATTTAAAGCATATTATCGAGGTAAAAGAGTCAACAACAACGAAACTTTAGATATATCTCAAATAACTAGTATTGGGATACAGATGTATGGAGGAGTCTATCAACCTATAAAACAAAAAGGACCAGCTACATTAGAGATTGAGTGGATAAGGGCTGTATGAAGCAATGTACAAGTATTTTTAGCAGTATACTTTGTGTTGCAACTTTGTACTTCAGCATGAGTTATTATGTAAACAAACCGTTAAATGTATTCCTTAAAAGTGCAATCTCAGACCAATAAAAAATCGACGAAACAATGAGTAGGTACATTTCAAGTGTCGCCAAGATCATATTCAAATTTCATTTTGTGATGCCAATTCCATGTTTGACCTATTATAAGAACATGCACTCACAATGCATATAAATGCATAAAAATCTTTTACAACCAACATTGTTTTAGGTACATATGTACGCCGAGCTATGGGGAACTGTATAGGTTGTTAAACAGAGAAGTTGAGCATTGTTTTGGCGTCCATGAAATAAACGCAGCGCTCCGTCACTTTTATTTGTTGGTTAAGGGTGCAATTAAGTGACAATTAGAATAAATTTGCAATAATAACATTCTATGCTGAAACGAAAAAAATAACGTATTTAAATAAGCCTAGTTTATTCCTCATAATATAGTAATTATTGTGTCTGAAAAGATAATAATGCCGCACTGAAATAAACCCAATTTATTCCTTTTACCTATGAAAAACATAATAAACTTGTATGAAACTATTAAAATTTTACATGATTGTGAGATATTAAAAACATCTAAAAATTAAAAAGGTTTTTTTTTTAAATATCATCTACCACCGTTTATTCACGGCAGTGTGTCGGCCGAGTTTTGAGAAGTAAAATCATAAAATGTAAAAGCCAACTTCAAAATATGAGAAATGAATCGACTAATTTAACATCCTGAAGACGTAAAATAATTTCACATTCTAAGAGTGATAGCAGAATTAAAGCACCAATTTTAGAACATTGAAGTATAATATACTTTCTACGTGTAAGTACATATTAATTCAATGTTTCAAAATATGAAATTAATTTATTATTTTTAGTTCTTTAAGTCCATATTTATTTTTTGATTATCTTTTATCCTTTTGTGTAATATAAGCGGATTATCATAATGTGAATGTTGTCTAAATAGTTATACTTCAAAACTTTATCTCCATTTAACCACCTTTAGGGGTACAATTTTTACAATTTCGTAAAATTTATATGGGAGCACCCCTAAAGTATAACTGTTTAATAAAAAACGCATCATCGAAATTGGTTCACAATTAGCGAAGATTTAGCCTAACATACATACAAGAAAACAGTGAAATTTCAAACCTCCTTTTTTTGAAGTCTGTTAAAAAGGGCGACGCCGGCTGTATTAACCATTTTGATCAATTTTCAAATACCCATAAGTCAAAAACTATTAGACCTGTCACGTGTAATTGTACATACCTAATAATCCCTTTAATACCTAGACTCCTATTTTGTGAATAATCTTATTTCAGTTATTACGGACTGCAAAGTGCCTTTTTTATCACTCACTGACAGTTTCATTCAAATTGAATTCAATTAGACGGTATTACAGGGTTATTCTAGGGCGGATACTGCGAATCGCATGTTCGTTTATCCACCCCCCAGACGGGGTGGATAATCGGAAATCGTATATTATTTTACTTCCGATTTCCCCCCTCGGCTGTGTACAGTCGTTTATAAAAACATGATAGAAACTGACCCAAGATTACTTACTTATAAAAATACATACATACTTCTTGTTGAAAGGTCGAAACTGAAATATTTTTAATTGTTCAATTACTCATCATTATTTGATGTGACATAATTAACCTCATTTTAGAGATATCTTAAAATGAAACAAATGTTTTACTGCAATTAATTGAAATTATATTTTATTGAAGTACCATAAAATGCTCTAATTTGACCTACCTAGCCTTAATTTGCCTAAACCTATCATTTGGATTTCATTAGTAGGCAATTTATCTAGAGACTTTATTTTATCGAACGATTTTTATCGCATGTCAACGCTTACTTTTGGTATTACTAGAGATCACAATTTTTTGTATGATGTGTAATAATGTGATGGCTAGTGTTTCCTCTATTCGTTAGAATAGACTAAAAATAAATCATAAATAAATGCACGTGCACGTGCTGCAATGAGCACGTCCTCTTACTTTTCAACTTTTAATACTTGACGTGTCAAAAGATTTATTTGTATTTTCTGAAATTTGATATTATTTAAAAGTGGATTAATATTATTATCCACCCGACCACTATTGGGTTAACTTTTAGGTTTTTCCAAAACTGATGATGTAATTGCGGATCGATATCGATATTTTTATATATGTATAATACAACGTGGCACGTTTATAACACGTGTAGGGCTGGTGCTCATTATCATATTAATTTTGATAGGTTAAAATAAATATTAAATTGAAAAAAAAATTCTTCAAACTAAATAATAAAAAAGTTACTGAAATTGGGATCGCCCTTGCAAAAATTTATTCATGAAATTACTTACCTATGTAGTTAATTCGGAGCGGCAACGCGTCGTTTCGCCCGCTGGGTACCGCGCAACGCGTCTTGTACTACTCGTCATCGGTCCGATTTGATCAGATTTTTTGACGGCTTATCAATGAATCTGAGCGGCGCGCGGCGCAAGTGGTATCTACAGCGGAGGTGCTTAGTCAAACACTTAACAAATCAGCCTCTCCTGTTACTATTTGTTATCTGTCATCACTAATCACTGCTTTAATTTTTCTTTATTTTAAATATTCTTATTTTCAAAGATATTAAGATACCACCGTGTTGACGGATACAAAGAGCTAAACTTTGTTTTCCCGCACATTTGAACATAAATTATCACTTATAGCCGTTTCCCTCAATTTCTCAAATGCATTTATTTTTCGATGGCGTAATTGTTTCACCGAATCCACAACGTTTTCTCCGCGTACACAACGTTTGATGCACCCCTAGAAAAAAATATCGAGTGACTTTGAGGCCTGGCGATCTTGCTGGCCACCTACGAGGCCCAAACCTACCAATCCACTGTGCAACAAAGGTGTCATTTAGCCATCTAATTAGTACCACATTCGTTGGTACAGACGTTTAGGTTGTTTACGTATTCTGACACCGTATCATTTAGTAGATTAATACTTCTTTCTCCGTTTAAAGCTCCATCAATGAATACGGGTCCGATGATATTGTCACCGTGAATAGCTGCCCAAACATTTAGCGAAAATCTATTCTGATGGGCTCTCGCCAAATGCGCTGATTTTGGTTTTTGGTTGCCTAATGATGTAGAATCTACACTGTAGATTGTGCTGGTTCCACATGCCGTTTCTGGTGAACGTGCTTTCGTCAGTCCATCAAATTTGGGAAAGAAAGTTACTGTCCTCTTCAATTTTATTCAGTAACCACTGACAAAAATTCACCCTTTATTAATCGATCGATCACGCGATAGCAGAGTATGTACTTTTCTAAACTTGAATGGGTGCCACTTTTCGCGCTTTAATATCTTATGAACAGTTCTGTGATGGACTTGGAAATGTTTAACGCCCTGGCGGAGGATAGTTTTCGGTTGGTCTTCGAAATATTGTATCACATTTTCAGTTAACTGGATTGGGTATTGTAGCGTAGGCGGTCCATCAGGGCGTTAAGACCAAGGATTACTGGCCCGTTTTCGTGGATATGCTGAGTAGCTCCTACAAGAGCGAGATTTGTAGGGCATTGTCTTGAATCGCAATATCTTTCGCGATATGTCCTTATCGCAAGGGCAGTATTTTGACGACATTCTCCGTAAATTAGGATTTCGGTTTGCATATTCAGCTGCTGTGTAGTTCAGATGTGTATTTGGCACACCTTTACACAACTACTAATAACACAAATAAAAACGTCCGTATCGCAAGAGATGTAAACGTACCTACTAGATTAGAAAAAGAAAAGAAAACAAATCGTCTTTAACGCAGTACCATAACCTAATTACTATCCCAATTATACAAAAATTAATAAACAAACCAATAGGTAAGCGCCTTTTTCATGGAAACATTCACAAAGTGGGAGGGCGCGCGTCGCCTGCGCTGCCCGCTCGCCGACATAGGGGTGTTTCTTTCCTTCAATAGTATTGCCTATTCCTATTCATTTTAATTTCAATGATGCGATCTTATGATCCGTGACCAGGGCAAATGACCGCTGCGTGATAGTTGTCTAAAGTACAGGTTGCTCTAAGATGCTATTTTCTAAAACTTTAAATAAATCCGTAAATAATAACGTTTAATGGAAATATAATCTCTTCATGAACGAAAACGTGAAAACGTATACGTGTGTTAGTCACCATTGTAGGGGCACGTTGTATATATTATTGTAATCACCGTCATATATTTATTTTTAAATTAAAGCTAATTATTAGCTGTCTGCTGTTCAGACAGGTGGGATTTTATGTCTATATAAAGTGTCTTGTTGAAGTGAATAAGATAAAGATATTTATTATTACTAAGGAAAATGGAATGTTTTTGTGTAAATTAAAGGCAGAAAAAATTCTATGTATACTTTATTACCTAGAATCAAGAACACCACTATTATATTATATATATACTTATTACAGTATACAAGCATACTTCTCTATTAAAGTTCGTTCCACCATATGTATTTAACACTTTATCGTTGCCGTGATGGTAAAAGTAACGTCAGCGCAGTCATCGCATCAGGGAATAAGGAATGGTAGTTCACAAGAGGCACATATGCTGCTGTGATAACTCTCCCAGCAAACCAACGGCCATGTAGTGAATTAACAGATGCAACAGCTGTTGCTATTGTGGGACATTTGCAGTAGACATTCCCTTGAGGTGACGCTTTGTCTACGTAAACATGTAGCACTCCACCATGTTTGTTGCATTCACTAATTACATCATCTCTGATTTCAATGTCCCAGTTAGGATTTGTTTCTCTGCAAACACAATACACAAAATAAATAATAATAAGACCATTTACATATTACTTATATGTATAATAATAATTTGAAATTATTCCCACTAAAAGGATTACACTTACGTAGCAGGATCAAACATGTTGTTAAGCATAAAACATTGTGTTGCAATGGGTGGTGCAACTTGTGGTTGTGGTGCTA